CATGATAAGAGAAGGGGATGTAACCACCTGCAAGAGGAATTCCAAAGGCAACAGGATGGCATCACCATATTGCCAACATCAGACACAATCAATCATCTTAACCACATCGTCAAGGACTCAAAAGCTGCCAACAACTTCAAGCTTCCACAACTCGAGCATATCTTTGTAGCCTGCATTCACAATAAAAGATTGAATTATCATTCAAACTTAAAATGTATCTTCCACCAACGTAAACCAAAGCCGACAAATCGCGGTCATTAGAACAAGCATAAAAGTTCAGGACAATGTGTAAATTACAACCTTCGAGATCACCTATATCAAGATTAGGCAGCCCGTTGATGCTCTGTGGTAGTCTTGGTGACCGGACCGCTAGTTTGAATGCTTTCTCTTCTTTCCTGAGTAAAATTCGAATTAAGTCAGAGCAAGATATTCAGAGGAGAATTAAATTGAGCCAACTACTGCAAACGGTACAAACACCACTCCCAACACCATCACGAGCTTTATTCAAGGCTGGGTATTATCGAGCATCGTAGTACACCAGTTCTATTACCGAATCCACCCTGGGCTGAAGTTTTCTCCTGACCCAAAACGAAGTCGCTATCCGCACCTGTCAAATATCAAACGCAAATTAGTAATAGGAATATTCGTGGAATAATTGGGGATTCAGAACCAAATGATCGGTACACAAAATCAGAGATTTAACACTCATATTATTACAATCACCAAAAAGGGAAAGATTTTAAATCAGATCATAACCGAATAGGAAAATCCCCATTCAGCATTCAATTGTGATTAACCAAATTCAAATCAAAGAATCAGACTACCGCCTATATAAAGGAGAGGGATATGATACGACGAAAGGGAGAACATCACAGAAATCCCACACAAAAGTATCAAACCCTAAATCGAAGAGGAAGGAAGACTTATCTGTTTCTCAGAGTCCGCCGCTGTCAAAATGCTTCATCATCGCAAATAACCAAAGCCTCAAGTCACCGTCGCGCCCACCACATCCGTTGCTCCGTGAAACCATCGCGAAGTCGCCGGCGACGCTATAATCATCATCATCGTGGGTAATATTTTCTTTAAGTAACATTCCCCTTTCAAGATTGATCTTGTTTTTTTGCGTTTTTGCTAGGTTGTATGAAATTGGAAAACAGATAAAAAGAGGGAGGTGAATCGAGAGAGAGGAGTCGCGAAGAAGAAGGTGATCAGAGATGGGAGTGAAGGAGAGGCGAGATCGAATTGGGGCCAATTCGATTTTAGGGCTCATTTGTTTTTTATTTTGCTGTATTTCTTTTACGTAATTGTCACCATTATCACTCACACACCACACTAACTCCGTTTAATCACCCTTAATTCCCATTAGCACTTTTCCTTTTTTCTTTTAATCAACCTATTTAAGCCATAATCATTTTAATTTAATTGTTTAACCACCTATTTAAATACTTTAATTGAAAACAATCTTTTCTATTCAGTTTTAAAAATGATTAGTAGTCTCTTTTATTTAATTTAACCTTAATCAACTCATTTTATTAAAATAAGGTATTTATCCTTTGAATTAATTTTTTTCTAGTTAATTAATTTTCTTTTTATTTTTAAAATAGCTTTTAAAATAAGTAAAAAATAAACAACTCTTTTTAAAAATCCTCTTAATTCATACTAAAAAAAATCTTTTGCTAATTAATTTAAGTTACCCTTTTTTCAACTCAATAATAAAGTATTTATTCACCATAAAAAAAACCTTTATTTTTCTCTCACAAAAAATAATAACATTTCTTAAACCATTAAGAATATCTTCTCATAGGTATAAGTCAAAATGCAACTTTTTACTAAAATCAGTTTCACATATCGAATATAACTCCTAAATCAAACTAATTCTTTTCTTATAAATCAATTCATACAAATCATATTTTTCTTATAAATAATTCAACTCCTCACCAATTAAAAATCAAATCAACTATTTTACCGAATCAAGTCAAACAGTTAAAAGGCAACCAACATCGTAAAAAATACAACTTAATTGTGCACTTCACGACACTCGCACTTACACTTAGCGCTTTCATGCGTATATTCTGTTTATCTTTATCCGCTTTTATTCTTCACAATGCACACACTCACCTAGCACTTTCATGCGTATGTGTGTGGTTTTATTCTTACAATTTACCTTCCGCAATTTACTTTACCGCAATTTACATCATTTACCGCAATTTATATTTATGCATCGCATTCCGTCCAAAGGAAAAACCTACACATAACTCAACGTTGTGTGTAGTTGCACATCATTTGCATCATATTCCCTTCGATCCTTGATTCCATTCAAGTTGATCATTTAAGTTTAGGACCTACCCTATAGGAAGGACCTTGTCTTTATCTTTACAACATAGACAAAACAAACAAACAACACTATGCAACTTTTTCAAACACATTAGAGAATAGATGTTAATCATCTTAAGTGAGATATAATCTCCACCCCCACAACAATACAATCAAACATGTAGGAACTTTGCCTTAAGAGCGATAAAGGCATACTTGGCGACCATCCGAGTATGTAAGACCTTTTCTTAAGACGATGCAAAGACCATTTCCTACAAACCCCCTTTACATTTGTGGCGGTTACATCTCCCTTAACATGAAGACTCATCTCTTCTCCTAAACCCAATCAAAACAACTACCCTAAACCCGTAGGAACTTTGACCACAGTCAAAGAACTCCTCAAACCCTTTAGGGGAACTACAAGTACTCTGATTCCACTCCCGTAAGGATATGTAGGCATAAGATGCGACATCTTATCGAGTATACTTAGAAAATAAACCCTTAGGTCTTTAAACCATTAAGCAGATAACACATAGCAATAAACAAACATAAAACAAGAGGTTCCTGTAGAGTACTACAGAAACTTAGGATGCTAGTACCTTCCCTAAGTTTAACCAACCCCCGAACCTATAACTCTCTAAACCTTGCATTTGCATTGCATCGTGGGAATTTCGATCTTTATCCCTTCCTTTGGACAAATCAAAGTTCGGTTGCAAATTGAATTAACGATTCAAACTAATCAATAGTTTGGTCCAAACCTCATTTCCTAGAGCTCGAAAAAACAATCATTATTTGCAAGATCGAGCACAGAAGCCAAACATCAGGCCCTAGCTCACACAACCTCAGAAGTCTCATGGATTGAATCACTACTAACTGAACCCGATGTTCCATATCAAACTCCTGTTTTACTATGTGATAACATTAGTGCAGTAATGTTGGCACATAACCCAATTCTACAGCAAGAACCAAACATACAGAATTGAACATTCATTTCATAAGAGAAAGAGCAGCTAACAAGCTTTTGTTCAACCTATACTAGGCACAAATTGCTAATGCAATTACTAAACCAATATCACATACATCCTTTCAAGACTTCAAAGACAAGCTTAAAGTTGCATCCCTACCACAACTATGAATTTAGGATAGTAGTAATTATAATAAAATAGTTAGTTAGTATCTACTAACTAACTTTAGCTTCATGCAAAGAGTGTATCATATATATATATATATATATATATATATATATATATATATATATATATATATATATATATATATATATATATATATATATATATATATATATATATATATATATATATATATATATATATATATATATATATATATATATATATATATATATATATATATATATATATATATATATATATATATATATATATATAAAAGCTACTTCCATGCATTGTAATGATTAATGAATCATAATTACATTAAAATGGATCAATATAAGGTAAATATAGGTAAGGATTTAAGGTTTAACGGGTTTAACAAGTAATGATTAAATATAAATATAAAGTAATCACATACATTGAAATGGATTAATGAATCACATACATTGTAATGATTAATTAAATCAGGGTTTAAAAAGTAATAATTAAATATAAATTTAATCTAATATATCATGCAATAGTAGCAAACTTTTTTAAATATCAACATATTTTTATAAATTATAAATATTAATTATATATTATTAACATATATTTTGAATTATACATATTATAAAATATTGAAATTTTTACACATTATGGTATAATTGAATAACAATTAATTCCATGTTAGTAAAAAAAAGTTAATATTTTGATTTTTTGTTATAAATTAATGTTATACTAAAAACAGAAAAACTAATTATCTATCAAAATATTAGAATAAACGTGAACTAAAAAATATATTCTTTTGATTTCTAACTAAAGTTTAAAATTAAATAAGAAAATTAAACTACACTCGCAATATTTGATTAATCATATATTAAATTTTCATATAAACAGGTATGCTTTAAATTTTTTCAAATATTAGTACCTTAAATCATGAATCAAGTTTTCATTTCTCTTTTATATTTTATATTTTGGTTAAATAGGTTTATAGTCCTCTTAAATATTTCAATTTCGATTTTAATTTTTCAAAATATTTTTTTTAAAAAATAGTCTTTTTATAATTTTTCATCTAATCTCTCTTATAAATTAGTGACGGTTTTTACAACTTAGCAACAAAATTAACAACAATTTTAGTGATAATTTATTACTTAATAATTGAGTTAACCACGATTTTAGTATTAGAGACCAAAAATATAAATGAAAATTTTTTAAAAAATCATTTTTTAAAAATAAATATTTTAAGAGACTAAAACCAAAATTAAAATATTTAGAAGGTTTATATTTTAATTTCACCTTTTATATTTTAATTTCATTTTCTTTTATTCATGAGTACTCCTCTCTCTCATGTTATTTGTTTCGGCATAAATATCCCATTATTTTGGTTACATTTTCCTACCTTACTTCCACTCATCTTCTTTCACATATTCTCTCTTTCCCTCTCCCTCTTTCTCTTCTTTCTATATTCTATATAACATAAACCACAATTTACCAACACTATAACCTATCTCAAACCCATTTTTTTCATTCCTTCTTCCAACCCTCTTCATTTTCTAGAACAAAAAAAAAATTAATATGGTGGTGGTGGCATCTCCAAACTCAATGATAGGTGAAAAGATTTTACCTATTGACCTACCAATGATAGACCTATCAGCTGAAAGATCAATGGTCATGAAACTCATAGTGAAAGCTTGTGAAGAATATGGCTTTTTCAATGTGATTAACCATGGTGTTCCTTATGACATCATATCAAAAATGGAAGAAGTAGGTTTTGAGTTCTTTGCAAAACCAATGGATCAAAAGAAGCTAGTTGCACTTGATAAACCTTTTGGCTATGGTTGCAAGAATATAGGCTTCAATGGAGACATGGGTGAGGTTGAATATCTTCTTCTCAATCCCAATGTTCCTTCTATTCCCAATGATTCATCAAACTTCAGGTATGTCATTGTTTATGATAATAATTATATATATTTTTGTTATAATTTATATAATGTCATTGTCCAAAACTTTTTCATTTATTGCATGTTTGGTTTATTATACTATTACCAACAATGACCTATATATTTCACTGTGATTTTGATAAAAGTTAGTTATTACATTTAGGGTTGACAGTGATGCCACCATGATTTTGTAAGAAAAGTAACTTTTAGGGGTGACAATGTCTTGAACAAAGTAGATATGAATACTATTGTGGGGATAAATAAAGTATTTTATTTGTACATTTTTACTGTAGATAGGTATTGTAGTTTTTTTTGGTCCCCCTTTATTTATTTTGTGGCATTTTTGTGATTGGAAATTTATGTGAATATTTATTATTTTATAAAGATTCCTATATTGTTAATGGAATATTGATGAATATTCACTATTTTTTTTAATTTTTTTCTTTTAGAAATTTATTACTAAAATTTATAAATAAATAACTAAATAAATACAGAAAAACTACTAAAAACACCAATAAAAAATAATGGGCAACTAACTATGTCGGTTATGATTTTTTAAATGAAAATTAAATATTTTTTGCGCATAATTGTAAAGACTAATTTTTTCGAACTAGGTATGACTATAATAGATAGTAAAACTCTTCTCAAGAGATTTTATTACTACTGCATATTCAGAACTGAATTTGAATTCAAGATTTTTAGTTAAACAGAAAGAGAATTTATGGTTTTTAAATATATAAAAAAAAATTATTCTATCATATAAAATATATACCTTAAATTTTTTTTTTTTTTTTTATTTGGACCATGGTTTTAAGTTCTTGACAGCTTAAACTGGTGGCTACCTTAGCAATGAATCATAACGTATTTTGGTTGATACTACGTACCTTCCCTTATGAGTTGTATCTGACCAACAAATAACAGAGAGAGAGAGAAGGATATAGATTGTCTCACATGTCATTGAGGGCCAATGGATATGTTAAAGTAGATGTTATAGAATTTTGTTATGATTTTTTAAATAGTTTTCTAATAAACGATAAAATTGATCTTCTTAAATTAATCGGTTTCAAATTAAATATCTATTTTTAAAAAAAAAAACATAAAAAAAGTATAACACTTTTAGTAATTTTGTGAAAAAAAAGGTTAAAGAAAAGAAAAATTAGTAACACTTTTAGTAATTTTGCACTGTGATCTACTAAAATAAAATTATACTTATTATTACAAAGTGTAACTTCTGATTAGACGTAGCTATTACTTTTTAACTGCGTAAACAAACATGTCATAGAATGATTAGAAATAATGTGGTGATTCCTTGTATGAATGATAATGGAAGTGTCCCAAACATTTTTTATAGGACAAGATGTTGTTTTTGTGGTCCTTAGACATGTATTTGAGACACACACAATTTATGCTTCACACACTCAATATGAGACACTAGTTGAAAAAAAGTAATGAACTTGAGGGGACAAATTAGGCATATAACCTTCTTTTCTAGAATAATAGCTGTCTCTCTTAAAAAACAGCATGCTCCCAATGGTTAATGTGTATAGTGAAAAAAAGGAATCAATATTTGAGACATTGTTTCATATCAATATTTTTCTTTATACTTTTATGTACACATGATAATGTGATAATAATTTTTTAATGATTATAGAGTAGGGAAAAGGTCCACAACACAAATATTTATCTTTCTTTAGCAAGTGATAAAAGTGTGCAAATTTTTTTGTCACACTTAAGTATAAGAGCTATAGAAATAATGCAATAAAAACAAGTCAAAAGGAAAAATATATAAAATATAGAATAAAAAATTAAAAACAAAAAATAGAAGAAAAATGTTTAAGATGCACGTGAGATTTTGAAACGATCTGTGTCAGCACATGGGAGTATGCAAAAGGAGTAGGTACCCCAAGGAGAGATGGGATTCACATATCTGTCAGACTATCTTTTTTCCTTCTTTCAAACTTTTATTTAATTTAAATAAATTTTTTGAGGTTGAATATATAATTGTTTAATGTTTTTAATGTTAAAGCAGTTGCACATAATAATATTTATATTAATTTATTTTTTTAAAATAAATACAATTTATAGAGTGAAAATAGAAAAATAGAAAATATGAAATGATGGAATAATATATCTATAAAAAACTAACAAAAACGATAGTTAAAAATATGAAATGATGGAATAATATGACTTAATAGCAATTTTGGTCCCCTTAATTTTAGAAATGATGAGATCAAAAATTTTGATTTTAAAATAGAGAGATCAAAATTAAAAAAAAAAACTAAAAATAGGAAAAAAAAATTCTGAATTTTTAAATAATGGAATCAAGACTAAAAAAAAAAATAGGAGAATCAAAACTGCAATTAAACCTAAAAATATTTAATTTATTTTATAAAAAAGAAATTTCACAAAATTTATATTATTTTATTAGATAAGCTTTATATATATATATATATATATATATATATATATATATATATATATATATATATATATATATATATATATATATATATATATATATATATATATATATATATATATATATATATATATATATATATATATATATATATATATATATATTTAAGATTAAATTAGCCTAAGTTGTGATATACTACTAGTAGTATTTATGTAATGTAATTTATCCATCCATGTGATATTGTCATGTGGTGGTAGTTATTCTGTATATATTTTCAGTTGAATGATGAAAAATATGATGTGATTTAGGGGCACTTTATGATTATTTTGGCAAAAAGTAGAAATGAAATGGGAAATGTCAGAAGTAAAAGAGGTACTGTTTGTAAGATTGACATGTATGTCTAATCAAATCAAAATTTTGTAAAAGTTGAACTGAATTTCAAAAAGTTGAATAATTAAACTCCAAAAAAGCAATACTCACCCTTCTTATTACTCTGATTTTATTTATAAAAAAGAAAATAATTTTTTAATTTATATATTTCATAAACATTAATTATTAGTTATTTATATATTTAAAATATATACATATAGTTTTTTTTTTTATAATAGAAATAGGAGGGAATAAAAATTTGATTGTTAATTAGATACATATTGTGAAATAACGAAAAGGTGAAATAAAAAAAGAGCAGATAGTGGCAGTGAATTGTCTGGTCTAGCAGAGAGAGATAGATTGATTGGGTGGCAGAGTGCAGGGTTAAAACCCATCCTCCTGCTGCCTCTGTCACTATCTTTCACTCAATTTTTTGAGTTTTAGATTTATTGAATGAATAATATATTTAGATAAAATATAGATTATTTTTTAATGTAAATGTTATTTATTGATTAATATGTTATTGTTAGAATGAAAATGTGTTAATTAGTATTGGTATAAAAAGAAGGAATACTAATATTATGGTACTGTGTGATGAGTGTACATGACAGCTCTAGTGTAAGGGCATACACAGAAGGTGTAAAAGAGCTGGCATGTGAGATATTGGAGCTAATGGCAGAAGGATTGGGGGTCCCTAACACATCCATTTTCAGCACATTCATCACTCAACTTGATAATGACTCTATCCTTAGGTTCAATCACTATCCTCCTAAAAACTCCAAAGATAGAGACAACTCTAATTCCTATAACGTTGGCTTTGGTGAACATTCTGACCCTCAGATTCTTACTATCCTTAGATCCAACGATGTTCCTGGTCTTCAAATTTCTCTTCAACATGGTGTGTGGAACCCAGTTGTTCCTGACCCCTCTGCCTTCTGTGTAAATGTTGGTGATCTTCTTCAGGTATCTTCTTTTCATAAATTCAATCTAATTCTTAAAATCTCGCATTCATATGTCATCCATGACTTATGACTATACTATTCGATTTCAGTTTAATATAGTCACCGCTGACGTGAATGCGAGATTTTTGCATTCTTATTCAAATATCTTTTTAAAAATATTCAATTCAATTATCAAAATCTCTATTTACGTTGTCGGTGACAATATTATACTAATATTATTTTAATATAATAGAGTCATCAACGACATGAATGCGAGATTTTTGCATTCTTTTTTTAAGCCCACAAGTTGGGTTCAATTTTGCTATGCTAAATTTAGTGTTGGGGGGACTTGGGGGCTGACATTGCATATATGAAATAATAATAATTATATGTATGGTCATTAAAGAGAGTACAATACTGAGTTGTAATGAATTTGCATATGTATCTTACTCACAATTCCCATTATTTTCACTATAGCTAAAAATAGATAGACATAACATGTTATGGTAGGCCTAGAACAAAAAGAGACATGTTAGGGTAGGGGTAAAGGTGAGATTTATGTAGAGTTTGATATTGGTCTGCGTTGGGGGCTCATATATTATTATTGTATTTTGAATCAAATATATTTATTGTTTTTATAAAACTCACAATTTCTTAAATTTTGTTATATTTTAGTCCTTATTCTTCTTTTGTAGATACTAAATATTAAATTTAAAATATATTTTTTTAAAAAAATCACTAAGGTTTATATATATAATATTTCTTCTGATCTTTAATATAAAAAAAATTTACTTATTATACAGATGCGTTTTTTTACTCTGTACTATCCAAAAATTTGTATTATAAGGTAAAATATTTCTCATACTCTTGTTTTAATTATGTTCATAAAAATATGATAGAGAAGAACGAAACATGGCATGCATGAAAATGAAAAAATATTTGATGAAATATTGACAAGTTGGTGTTTAAAAAGAGTTGGTAATAGATAGTTGAAAAAAGGATGTGATTGAAATGATTTATATTCTAAATGTTTGTTGTGTAATAAAGGTTATGACAAATGGAAGATTTGTAAGCGTGAGACATAGGGCCGTGACCAACTCATACAAGTCTAGAATGTCGGTAGCATATTTTGTGGCTCCACCACTTGATGCATGCATTGTTGCTCCCTCAGTTATGGTTACACCAAACAGGCCCTCCCTTCTCTTCAAACCATTCACTTGGGAAGAGTACAAGAAAGTCACATACTCACTGAGGCTTGGAGACACTCGCATTCATCTTTTCAGAAACTGTACACAATTAGAGTAATATTGCATGAGGTGTCTAAAGCTTGTTTGGTACTAATACAAGAGTGTAAAGTCTTCTTTTTTATTTTATGGTCCCCTTCTTAGGTGGTATATACTTTGCTAATACGTGCCAACAAATTTTGTATTGGGGTTAATGGAATTGTGAAAGTTTATTATTACTTTGCATACAAGGGATAATAATTGTTTTTTTTGTATAAAAAATGTTTGAGTTTGTGGTTTTTTTTGGTTAGGAGGAGTTTGGTTCTAATACTAGATAAAAAAGAAAAAGGTATGTGTGAGAATGGTGACGATTAATGTTTAATACATTCTCATTCAATCAAGCATATGGATTTGAATTGGGTTGGTTTTAAAAAGAAATTATGGGAGTTATTTTAAAAAACTTTGTTAAGTTTTAAGGACTTGATTGTCTCACAAAAAATTATTTGGTTGCTTTGCATTAGATGATTTAGACAATTTTAAAAGTGCTTGTTTACAACAATTCTCACAAAAAAAAGTTACTTGTTTGCAAATTACTTGTTTGCTTTGCATTAGATAATTTAGACAATTTCAAATTGATAAATTCAATCAAATTTAATTATAAGTGTTTAACTTTAAAAATAAAATAAAATAATGAATAAGAGTATTTGTTTCTAAGTGTTAGTTCTTTATTAATATTAGAATGTAATGTAAATGTTACAACAATATTCTAAATGTTGTTGCACTAATTCACTAATATACAATTGATCGTTGACTTCAACCTTCAAATTTGATTTATTTATATAGGACTTGATATTTGTTTTTTTAATTATTTTTTCTTTTTAATTATGTGTCGGTTGGAAATAGACATTGCAATAAATAACGTTTTTTATAACGAAGTTTTCACCTTAAACAATAAAAAACTGAGATATAAAGTCAAAACGTGCTATTTTTTATTATTTAAAATAATAAAAAAATCATACATTTTTTCGATTTTTCATAACATCGAGATAAAAAAACAACTCAGTACAAGTTTCGATTCTCAGTTATCGCAATTTATGATTTTATTTGTTTATAAGTGTAAACAAAATGTTCTAACCCTTCGATTTTATATTTAACCGATACATAAAACAATAAGATTTTACTATAAAAACACTCGTTAAACATATTTTACTCTCTAATCCTTACTAATATGAAACCACCCCAAACTCGCAAGCATAATTCTTTGGGATGAATTGCAAGACAAAAATCTTCAATGTTCTTCTATCTTGAACAAAACTTTTTTCTGCCCTTACTATCCATCCTAACATAATGGTGTTGATGTTATCGTTGTTGTATTTTTAGAATAACCCTCAGTTAAAAAAGGAAGCTCAACCTTTGAAGAATACTCAGTTGATAGATTGCAAGTGCGAAATATCATTTTTGCTTCAAGTTACACAAAGAATAAAGTTTAATCAACAAAGAAGGGGGTTTAACCAACAAGGAAGGGAGCTTAACCTTTGAACAAAGAAGAGAATGTAACTAAATCTGAATATCAACGAAGATATTCATTAATAAGAGTAAAGATTTGAGGTAAACAATGTAATTTCAATAAAAAAATTATTCATCTCGGTTTTCGTCATCACCGAGGAGTTAGTTAAAAGGAGAAGATAAAAAACCCCGGCTTTATAATAAAACCGGGGTGTTTAATAATCATATTTTACTATAAAAACATTCGTTAAACAAATTTTACTCTAAGACTAACTTATATGTAGCCGCCAAAAGAGAGGAAATATTCACCACAATCCATTTGATCATGAGTTGCTACTACATATCTTTGAGATGTTAGATTTATCTAACCTTTTATGGGCTACAATCAATTGTGGTTTAGTTTGTGAAAAATGGGTTAATTGTGATTCTAATGGGGGTGCATATATAAGCTTTTTTTATTAATTAAGTGATCCTTTTTAACTAATGACTGAGTATCTGAAACCTAATTGGTGTAGGTAAAGGTGTGGACTTTAACCGGGGGCCCATAATGGGTAGGAACTAGGGTTATATATATTATATGGCTAGGTCCCCTCTGTAATCACAATAAGAATCAGAAACATAATTGACGGCTCCATAATTTGCCCCATTGAAAGTTGTGAACGGGAGTGTGAGATATAGAGAAAGATTCCATCATTCATCTTTTCGAGATTCTGAATCATGAGTTCAACAAGTAAGTATTGATGTTCTAATTTTATATAATTGAAAGATAAATTTTTCGGCTTACATATGGTATCAAAGCTAGGTTATATGAGTTAGAACTCAATTATTTGTTGTTAATATATAATTATAAATTAAGATGATCGTAGGACGATCCACTTTCTTTTCGCGTATCATTTGATTATTAATATGTGGTGCAATTTTTATTAATTTAGATGCAAAGAACACACTAGAACTTGTGAGAAAATTGTGATCACTAATTGTCCAATTACTTAATGCACCAATAAAATTATTATCATACCATTCTTGTTTATGTTACATCATTACGTGTCAGATCACGGTTCCTATTTCCTAATATGATTGTCTTGTATGCCGGCGTGTATATATAAGATGTCTTAGGCCATTATATTGATAACCTTGCAACCTAGTGACAGTTTTAGCATTTGATAATGCTTTTGACTTTTAATATTCATGCACATGCCAAACTCATATCTCCATTCTACTCACTCTTATGACTATGATATGATATTTTACTGATTTGTGTAACTCTTTATAATTTTAAAACTATTAAATTTTTTGTCCTTTAGTCTTTAAATTATTTATGATGTTTTAGGGTTTCAACAATATTGGGTTGGATTAATATTTTATAGGCTGCAATTTAATTTTGTTATAGTATATCAAATGTTGTGCCATAATTTATTGTCAATCATGTAGTTGTTATTTTAGTATTATATTATAATTTTGACAAAGTAGTCTTAGAATTGGAATTATGTATGGTTGTAATTCTGGTATGCTGAACTTAAGTGTTTATTAATTATACTTATTATTATATATTAACTAAATATGTTAAAAGGGTTTTAGCGGCGTTCTGTAACCTAATAATAAAATAGGTTGGCTTTTTCAATTAATATGGTTTGTGTTTCTTGATCACTTAATAATATTGAATTTTGCAAGGTGTAATATATCAATTAAAATTGACATTGATTATAATAGTATGGTTTTATAATACAATATTTTGAGATATTGTATAATATCCTTTTTATTGAGATTGACAGTGTTAAGGATAAAATTTATTCGGAATGTTATGTTGTTTAAATTCGTGATTGGTTCATGATTTATTTTGGCAAAAGAAATTTATTCCTATGCAAGAAAATCTATAAATTATTGTGTGTGATTACCACCAAAGTGAGATCACTCATTTTAATTTATAAAAGTCTATTTGTAGTTTGAGGAATGATATTAAGTCATTACTATGATTTTCTTCCCAAAGATTGACCATTGTATGTAGAGATTGTGGTTGACTAAGAATATAGCTATTGAAGATGCTTGAGTCCAAGGGATTTATTTATCCAAAGGAGATAAATTTCTAAACTCAATGTATGCTTATTGAGTGGCTTATTCTTGAATTCGTAGATGAAGTTATAGGAGGTGTTTTGGTTTAGAGAATTTATCTGCCCAAAGAAGATAGATTTTTGAACTAAATATATGCTCATCTGAGGTTCTGACATTGGTTGTAAACTGGGTTTTGCACATTCCATCCAAAGGGGATTGTGTGACAATGTTGGCCTCTTCATGATAGCTTATGTTCAATAAAGCTATATCTTGCCTTTATTATTTGTTTTAATGCATTCCTATTCTGTCTAAACAGTGACCTTCTCTATGAACAACTGTTATGCTTCTATTGAGATCCTGAATGGGTCTAATTTTAAGAAATGGAAGAAAGACATAGAATTTTCATTAAGGATTGCTGACCTTGACATGGCATTGCATGAAACCAAACATGTGATCAATGATCAGAGTACACCTGAAGAGAAAGAAAAATTAGCTAAGTGGGAGAGGAGTGACCGACTTAGCTTGTGTGCTATGAAGAGGATAAATTCTGAACATCTGATAAGTGGATTGCCTGAGAAAGATAATGCTAAAGAATATCTTACTGCTATTGGAGAGAGGTTTCAGGTATCTGACAATATTGAGTCGAGATGTTTTATGAAACAACTCACGAACATGAAATATGATAACAATGGGAGTGTCAGATAGTTCATTCTTAAGATGTTTCATGTCCAAACCAAACTAAAATCCCATGACATTGACCTGAATGAGAATTCTATTGTGTCTCATGCCTTAATTTTCCTACCTGCTGTGTTCACTCAAATCAAAACTGCCTATAATACATTTGGTGATAAGTAGACTATCAATAACCTCATTACCATGTGTGTAGCTGAAGAAGAGAAACTCAAAAAGGAGAAAAGTGATATAGCCCTCTGATGCGTCCGCAAGTGCATGGAAATATCAAAGTAATATAAAAGATTGTCGAACCCACAGAGACCAATGTCAATCTACCGTTATCTATTGCTACGGCGTAAAGCTAAGGCTAATGGAATTTGGAAAGTTAAATGCGGATGAAATTAAATGCACAAGAAATAAAGATTTTTGGTTTAAAGAAACGCGGTAAAGGAATATCGGTATGTAATGCTTTAGCTATCGGGAATTCGGCAGGTTACCGGTGCCTTTTTGTCTATTGCAAACACTTTTCAGGAGAACTTACTCGTTTAAAGACCTTCGCCTCACGATGGTTGTTGACTCGGGTCATAATTCTAAGGGCCGAATGTATGCTTTCGCTGTCCCATTCGGGGTTAAAACTACTTTTTGTAAACAAATAGATTCTAATTTCTTTTAAAGCGCTTTCGCTGTGTCTAAAATCAATGCCTAGTTTTTACTATCTGGTTCTAGCCTCAGCTGTCGCTTGTTGGTTCGTACCTTAATATGGTTTCCCACTGTCGTGGCAAAACCACCGTAAATAGCTTCTCACTGTCGTGACAAAGGTTTATTTAGAATTTAGATTAAAAACTACGGCCAGAA